TTTTTTTTTTTTTTTTTTTTTTTGTCACGTTTAAACACCTTCCATAAGCTAAATTTATCCATCAATATGGACATTTTTATAGTTTCTTTTACCTATAAACCGAGATGTTGATTCAATAAATAGTTGTCGTCCTTAAATTTTACCTTATTTTAATTTGGTCATCAAAGTTTTTTTTTTAAAAACCTTAGTTCTTCAAGTAAAAATGAATTCCAATTTTGGTTCATATCTCACAGCAATGTAATTCAGCAAGTGATGAAAAATATTGAGATTTTCAAAGTTTTCATATTTAACATCATCACCCATAGAATTTGAGAATTTGAGAAGAAATAGTGTGAAATGTTCTCTAATAGTTCAAATCGATGAAAACAGTCTTAGAAAACATTTATGAAAAAAACAACTTTATTTTCAAATAAAATTTAAAAAATTTAGAAAATTTGGGTCAAACTTACCATTGTTGTCTTTCAAAAGGTACATATTTAATCTTTAAAATTTAGAAAAAAAAATGTTCTATTTCAAACTCCCAATTTTAAATACTTTAATTAATATTATTATTTGATAATTGAGAATCGTTTTTATCTCTTTTACATAGTTTTAATTTACGCTAGTTGTGCATAACATACTAAAAAATATCAAAGAAAAATCACAAATCTCGAAGAAAACCAAAATACTAACTTAAAATTCGTACATTCCTTTCTTTTTCGATTCTCGGTGGAATTGAATAGTTCAAAAACTCATAATAGATATTCTCAGTAAGAGATTCTTATGAACTAGCTCTCGCTAAATTTCGCCTTCAAGCCATTCAAAGTGGATCTTAGTTTTCTATTTAAAAATTCTAAGTTTTTTTTTCTTTTCTCTATCTTTTATTTCTCTTGTATTCTTTCCACTTAGTAGGGTTTATTCATATAACTAATTAAGCAAGGAGGTTAAACGGACAAATTTACTCGTGAAGGTTGACTTGGACTGATTTGCTCAATTTTAAGTCCCTCGATAAAATAATAAAAAATTGTACTTTAAAAAAAATTCGAAAAACTTATTTCTCATGGGAACTCGACACTTTGATAGATCCTCGTTCATAACTCTCATTCATTCTCACACAATATTCTAATAGACATTAAAGAATCGTTTATTTACACTCTTGTTGTTATTACCAAGTGGGATTGTGTATTTAAAGTGCATATTACTTCGATTAAGTTGAGAGCAAAACAGCAAAGTTTATTCATGAAATGAAGGTAAAGATGATGTTAGAAAGCATAACAAGAGTAGCTTAACACGAACAAAGCTCACATTAAAAACAATATTGCAATTAACAACGGTGAGTGCAATAGCAATGGCGAGGGAAGTGGTGACAATGACCGCCAGGGTAGCCTTCCTTTCGGCAACGAGTAGCGCACTTGTGGCTAAAGCAGAGGCCATGGTAGTGGTGGTTCCTGGACTTGCACATTCGAGCCTCAGCACCACGACCCATCATCTCTTCTGCAAATAACACATATTAGGAAGAAAGGAAGAAAGAAGAAATGGCAAAGATGGTAGGGTTAGACTTTGATTACCTGAAGAAGAGAAGATGAGGAGGACCAATAGGAGCACGGAGAGGAAGGATTTGTTCATCATCTTTACCTATTATCTTGTTCTTCACGTTGTGTGCAAAATGGGAGGAGGCACCTCTTATATATATAGCAACCCCCACTCCCAATAACCTTCTCATTCTTCCTTCTTCAGTAAGGAAATACTACCCAATCTCTCATGCACACGGTATCCACTTTGTTCAAGCACACGGTTTGTTTCTTAATACCTGTTCGATGCAAATTTAAAACTTTACGTGTCTTCTCATAATATACCTTTAAATTTTTTCTTCTATTATTCATTGATGACAGTATTATTATATCTAAGAATGAGAGATTCAAATTCGTAACTTTTGGTCAACTTTTTAATTATATTAATTTCATTTCTAAAATTTTAAAATGGGTCCAATTAATTTTTTTTTTAAAATTTAAAAATGTTCTATATTGTCTTTGAATAGGTTAGATCTTGTCATTTTTTAAATGTCTATTTGTAACAACCTATACCCACCGCTAGTAGATATGGTTCTCTTTAACTTTTTTCTTCTGGACTTCCTTTCAAGGTTTTAAAACGTGTTTGCTTTGGAGAGGTTACCACATCCTTATAACAAATGTTTCGTTTTCCTCTTCAACTGATATGGGATCTCACAATACACCTTCTTTGGAGGCTAGCGTCTTCGCTGGCACACCACTCGATATCTAACTCTAGGCTAAAAATGACAATATTTACTAGTGGTAGGTTTGGGTTGTTACGCTATTCTTGAAGTGTGATCTTATTGCTTCAATAGAGACCCGTCCTTCCTTAATTTTCTTCACATGTGAGTCCATGTTTCAATTTCACCAATAATCTAAAACCAAGGCCCTATTGTTGCTTCAAATATCGAGGCGCCAAAGTCATAATAACCACAGACGACACATTTGGAAATAAACCAAAGCAGAATCGGCCAAATTCCGTGATTTTCTTGTTTCTAATAGCCTCGTCCATGGAAGGGAGATAAAATATATATTCACATATTTAAATTGATAGCTAGGTACAATACAGAACCTAAAAAATAATCATTTCCATATTTGGAATATCACAATATTTAATACCTAGATTTTTAGAAATGAAGTAAAAGGAAAATCGGATAAATAAATATATAAATTAATTGATTTTAAAAAAAAAATACGTGAACAATATAGTAGGACGCGTGTAACAAGGTATATGAAACACAATTTCAGCTGAATTTTTTGTAGGACGGGTGAGCTCAAGTGTTAAGGTGTTGACCTTGAAGAGTGAGTACAAAGTTATCCGCATGAAGAACAGTGATTCAATAAACGAATTTGTCATGAAGTTAACGAAAATCGTCAGTAGCATTCGTTCGTTAGGTGACAATGTGGAGGAGATTTCCATTGTCAAGAAGTTCCTTCGAGTTGTCTCCCCGAGTTTCATGCAGATTGTTAGCTCCATGAGAAGTTTGGTGACCTCAAGAATATGTCGGTTGAAGAGGTCGTTGGTCGTCGAAAAGTTCATGAGAAGAGACTTCATGGCTATGACAACGGAGAGGAGGAGAAACATATCCTACTCATAAAAGAGGAGTGGCTCGTAGGGACAAAAGAAAAGATTGTTGGTTATAAACTTGTTTTCTTTATTTTGCTTGGTAAGTTTTTTTTTTTTTTTTTTTTTTTTTTTTTTTTTTTTTTTTTTGTTAAAAAATAGCGGTTAGTATTGATTTTATTTTTGTTGCTTATTTCTCCATGAAAAGAGACAGGAGATATTGGAAGCAGTGGAACTAGTTTTTAGGGAGTGGAACATTGAAAGGAGTGGTGGAGTGATTGCTAATTTGTAGCGGAAATGTGTAAATTTTTATTATATAAAATGGTGTGAAGTTCTAAAGACACCACAAAAAGAGAGAAAATTAATTTGTGTGTCGTTGCTTCTTCTCCGGCTCTGTTATTTTTTTTTTTTCAATTGGTATTAGAGCTACAAGATCAAGGCATGTTTTCAATCATGTCTCACCTAGAGATTGAGTGGTCAAGAAGGGAGAGAGATCAAAAAATGAAACAGGAATCGAGTGACAGTAGCCAAAACACCGGTGCGATAGAAGGTGATGCCTCAAATGAAGTGAGTGTACGGATTCAAGAAAAAGAGAGATCTATCACACTCAAATACCCGATGTTGACAAAACGCAACTATGTAGCTTGGGCGATTAAGATGGAGGTATTTATGATGGCACAAGGTGTTTGGGAGACAATTGAGTCACCCAAAATAGTAGGTAACGCAAAGATAACCTGGCTTTAGCAGCTATTTATCAAAGTATTGGAGAAGATATGTTGCTACAGTTGGGTGCCAAGAAAACGGCCAAGGAAGCTTGGGTCATGTTGAAAAATATGAATCTAGGTGCAGAAAGAGTGAAAGAAGTTAGAACACAAACTCTCTAGCGAGAGGTTGAAGCGTTGAGGATGGGTGATTCAGAAAGTATTGATGAATATTCTGGAAAACTCGTCATTATTGTCAATAAATTGAGAGGCCTCGGCAATACTGTGGATGATATCCAAGTAGTTAAGAAACTTCTACGATCCACCTCTGCAAAGTTTCTTCAAATCACTTCAATGATTGAGGAGTTCAGTGATCTCAAAACGAAATCCATTGATGAGATTATTGGATCACTCAAGGCACATGAAGAAAGTTTGCAAGGATTTGGAGAAAAAGATGAAACCGTTCTCCTCACTCGTGCAGAATGGAAGGAACGAGAGAATGCAAAATCCTCAAAGAAAGAATGGAAGGATAAGGCAGTTCTAGAGGGGACAGGGGACGGGGTTGTGGAAGATGGAAAGGTCGTGGGAGAAGTGACTGGCATCGAGGAGATAAAGGAGAGTCACAAACTCAGAAGAAGAAATTCAACAAAAGTAAAATTAAATGTTACATGTGTCAGCAAATGGGACACTTCACATCAGAGTGTTCCACAAAAGACGAACAACTCAACTTGATAGAGATGCAAAAGGATGAGGAGTCTTCATTGCTGATGATAGAGACGTGTGAAATTAAAACCACACATGACAAATAGCCTGATTTTGTGATGTTGAATGAAACTATAGTGACACCACCAGCCAATATTGGAGTTGAAAATTCCTAGTTCCTAGATACTGGAGCAAGCAACCACATGTCAGGAGAAAGAAGGGTCTTTCGTGAGCTCGACACATCTGTTGTTGGAAAGGTACGTTTTGGTCGACACATCAGTTAAGAGCTTTAGAACGGACCGTGGAGGAGAGTTCGTATCTACTGCTTTTAAAGACTATTGCGAGAATGAAGGCATGAAGAGAATTCTTAGTGCACCATTTCACCACAACAAAATGGCATAGTAGAAAGGCGTAATCGAACGGTGGTAGAGATGGCCATATGTATGTTAAAGAGCAAAGAGATGCATGCAAAATTTTGGAGAGGCTAACAAAACTGCGTGTATATTCTGAACACATCGCCAACAAAAGGAGTTGCACATGGTACACCGTATCAAGCTTGGTTTGATAAGATACCAAAGGTTCATCACTTTAAAATCTTCGGGTGTCTTGCTCATGCCAAGAATACATATTCACACCTTCCTAAACTTGCTGATAGGAGTGTGAAGACAATTATGTTGGGAAATGAAGATGGAACCAAAGCTTACAGACTATTGGATCTACTAAAGAACAAAATTATGGTGAGCAGGGATGTGTTGTTCGAAGAGGAGAAAAAGTGGTGTTGGAAAGAAATCACAAACGATGATGATGAACAAAAAGAAACTTTCACCATTAAAATTTCAGAAAACATAGTAGAACAAAGGAGAGGAATATTGAACAAATCGAAGTTGATCCAGATGAAAGACAAAGAGAAAATTTGTCCTCAACTTTATCAACGCCAAACAGTAACTCAAATGCATCATCGTCAAGCTCATCGATGCCGAAAAAGTTTAGGTCTCTAGAAGATATTTATAGAGAACTGAACGAAGCAGAGGAGGAAGTAGTGGACCTTTGTTTTCTTTCTATAGAGGAGCCAACCTCATATGAGGAAGCTGATAAGAATGAAAACGGGAGGAATGCCATGAAGTCAGAAATTCTCTCCATTGAAAATAACAGACCGTGGGAACTCACAGATTTGCCGAAGAATCATAAAGCAATCGGCATCAAATGAATTTTCAAATTAAAGAAAAATTTAGATGGAGAAATCATGAAACATAAGGCGAGACGCGTGGCAAAGGGATATGCACAACAGTTTGGTGTAGATAACAATGAAGTATTCGCACCAGTAGCCAGGTTAGAAAAAGTGAGATTAATTCTTGCCTATGCAACCATTAAGAACTTGGAAGTACATCACATGGATATAAAGACAGCTTTTCCGAATGGCGAGTGAGAAGAGGAGGTGTATGTTGTTCAACTAGAACGGTTCATTGATCAGGAAAATCCAAACATGGTGTTAAAACTACGTAAAGCCTTGTATGGATTAAAACAGGCTCCGAGGGCCTGGAATTTTAAACTTGATCAATGTTTGCAGTCACTTGATTTTGTGTTAAGAAATAGAAATAGAAAATAGAACTGGAAGAGTGTATGATCTTCATTCAGGTTTACACGTTTAAATAGATACAAACTATTAACTAATACCTAAAAATAGAAAAAAAATAATATATCTAACTAAATCTTGTAAATAAATAAAATATACGATTAATCAAATTTATACTAACAACTCCCTAAATATCTCAGATATATTCTAACTAATATATCTCCAAAATATCCTCTCAATACTCCCCCTCAAGTTGGAGAGTGTATGTCGATCACACCCAACTTGTCCTTCAAAAGGTCAAATTGCTGTCTTCCCAGAGCTTTAGTAAAAACATCTGCCAATTGCATTTTGGTCGAAATATAACATGGTTTGATGATTCCAGCTTGTAACTTTTCTCGAACTATATGACAATCTATTTCAATGTGTTTCGTACGTTCGTGAAAAACTGGATTGGCTGCTATATGTAATGCTGCTTGATTATCACAATATAATAATGTTGGTTCGGACAGTGGAACATTCAAGTCTTGAAGAATGTATCTTAACCAAGTTAACTCTAAACAAGTATTTGCCATA